GACATACATGGGTGGAAATGTAACAATTGCGTCCAGGGCCTATTGCACAAAGGGATCTTAGTGCTATGAATGTAAGTCTATGTTAAAGTATGAGTCCTGATCGTCTTAGCACTAAGATCGCTTTATGGAAAAGAACACTACATGATGACACAAACTGTTGCTCATGCCATCAACCATTGACAAGCCTGTTCCAGACTTGATTACTTACAGGTCACTATGATACAGCTGGAATATTGTTGACTGCGTAACAAACATTCACCAAGTGAGTTCAATTCAATTCAGACAACAAAAAAGCTAACTACACACTGTACACACTGCTTTCAATATCCTGCTGCATGTTCCTCCTGTTTAAGTGACAGTGGGTTCTGATGGAATGTATGTACAATGGCTGCTTAGCAACATGGATGTACAGTGGCTGCCAAGAGACATGGGTATACAGTGGCTGCCTAGCAACATGGATGTACACTGGTGGCCTAGAAACATGTATGACAACCGGTTGCCTAGAAACATGGATGTACAGTGGCTGCCTAGCAACATGTATGACAACCGGTTGCCTAGAAACATAGATGTACACTGCCTGCCTAGCAACATAGATGTATACTGGCTGCCTAGCAACATGGATGTACACTGGCTGTCTAGCAACATTGATAATAACTAGTTGCCTAGCAACATAGATGGATACTGGCTGTCTAGCAACATGGATAACTGGCTGCCTAGCAACATGGATGTACACTGGTACTAAGGCCCCCTGCTGTTATGTACCATCCTACCTTATCAAGGGTATTTTCTGTGTTTGAATGCCCTTGACCATTTTGCTACAGTAACTAATATTTTACACACAATGCTCAACATAGCCAATTACTCCCATTAGAAACAGTTATTGATACTTATGAAGCAAAGCTATGGCAGCACATTGGTCAAGGGTATCCATCATAAGTATAGATATTATACAATGGATCATCAAGGATGGTTATTACCTGAGGATATACGACATTGTATCTTACTGAACTTGTAGCCATCAGCTCTGAATTCAGACAGTAGAGACTACCACTGAAGGACACACATGCTGTGCTGGTTACAAATTAACACCTGAAGTACCCAAGTTGGTGAAACTAGATCCACAGTTGAACCTAGATTTACAACTGTAGTAGTGCTACAACCGTATCATAACAATACAGTTCAACACAGACCTACGACTTAGCTGTATGTCATCATTGTAACTCTTACAGACTTCCGATGTCATAGAGACATAGCTATATCATAACCCTTACATGTGTACACAGACTTACGACTGTCATAGCATTATGACTATATCATAACTCTTAGAGTTCATCATAGACTTACAATTGTCATATGGCTACGACAATATCATAAATCTTATAGTTCAACACTTAAACTGTCCTACGGCAACAAACACTTAGTAACTCTGATATTCTAACATAGACTTATGATTACATAGTACAGACCTGCCCTGGAGACCATTAAAACATGTGATGTTATATGTACTAAAACGTAAAGTTTTACTGAAGTCCTTTTAAATCTAAAGTCCTTGATATATTAATCTGTCGAAACTGTTCCGAGTTTTCTGATGCTGTTACACTCAATACTGTGTCTGGTGACACTCAAATAACATGGAATGAACAAGCATGCAATACTCATATACCCCGCCAATATGACACGTCCGAATGTGTGCAAGGCATTAGCCAGTCAAAATTGTTGCAATGGAAACTCGAAATAATTTTTTTTTAAATCCCAAACTATCAAAAGGCACCAGTATACCACTAGACCTAACTATGTACCAAGTTTAGTGAAAAATGTTGTACTTTTTTCAAGATCTGCGCCGGAAAGAAGCACTACTGCCAATTTTAGTCTAAGTCAAAGTCATTGTCATAGAAACTTGAAAAATAAATTTTTCTCAAAAATCCCAAACTATCAAAAGGCACCAGTTCACCTGTAGACTTATCTATGTGCCAAGTTTGGTAAAGATATCTCTCATCATTTTTTAGTTCTGCTCCGGAAACGAAACATGACTCACTGATGGACAGCACCCATTCCTATATCCCACTTCCACTTTGTGGCTGAAGGAAAATAAACATGTAAGGCAAGAAATTCTTGTCATCAAGGAGACATTTCTTTTTCTATGAGAATGAATTCTACTAGCCCTATGAACAGTCTTACTAGTCACATGATAGGGGGCTAGTTAGCAAATGTTAACCTCTCATGCTGCAGCTATAAATAATAAGTACACTGACTGTAATAATGAAATGTCTTTCTACATATGTATATACAATTATGCCCTGACAAAATCCTATGCCCTCCCAATAACCTTGACCTTTGGTACATGTTAAACAGTAATATCGATGATGGTATTATTCATATCCCTGACCTTGACATCAATAAATGTAAAATAACAGTTTAAACAAAATTGTAAAAATAGCCTTGACATTCACAAACAAGATAATAACTAGCTTGTTTGCACACATCATGACAAGTCAGGACTCCATCTTCCCGAGGCAAGAGAGTTAACTGACTTTAAAAGTCCAGTTTCCTCGCTTGATGAACTAGGCTGGAATTCTTGGGCTTGATCGTAGAGCCACCAGTGGCTATTACGAGTTATGTTTCTTTATGGACCAATCAGATTCCACCTCTTGTATCACTTGCATTTGCTTCAAACAAAATGGCGGCGCCTAGTCAAGATGATCTGATCGAAAATCAAGATCTATATTGTGATAAAATAGGTCTTACATCACAAAGTGCATCAAATCATGTGAGCACCTTGATTAAAAACATGAAAAGATTTGGAAAATATCTGTTGACAACGAGTTGGTGGTGCACATGCCTTGCAAATCCTGCAATTGACCGAAATATGCATTACAGTTTATAAACCAGATTTCGATTTCGTAGCGCAATTTTGATTGGATTATATATAGACTCGTTAGTCCAGCCAAAATATAACTCCATAATACCAGCCAGGTTCTGCAAGGGTGGAAACTGGACTTTTATAGTCAGTTAACTCACTTGCCTCGGGAAGATGTCAGGACTTGGGCTGTTTAACAGAGTCATTCAGAATGTTGAGAACATGCCAGTACTCAACATCTGTACTACAGCAATGTAGAGAAATGTCTGTAGTACTGAATCACAAACAAGGATTTGTTTGAAGAAATAAAAATAGCCACATGCAAAATAATGTACAAGACAGTTTCATCTTTATTCTACATATATACATGTATAGTTGTATCTAAAATAGTTTGCAGCACAACAGCAAACAAGAAGTATTGCTGAACTCATTAATACCTGTCCTGTGGGGATTCAGAGTAATATAAGGGTAACACTATTTTTCAGGGCATTATCATTTGCAGAAGCCCGAGGTCTTCTATTAACTGCCCGATGAAGGAGGGCAGTTGAAAAGACTGAGGGCTTCTGCAAATGATAATGCCCTGAAAAATAGCGCTACTGTTATCATAGCTGAAATAGATGGAATTTGTTATCAAATAAAAAGAAACAATATCGGTTTTGAAACATTTACTGCAATCAACACGAATGTTACTGACCCACTTTAACAAATATGGAAACGTCATAAAAGAAACCAGATGACATCACGATTGAACGTGACGTCACCAATCCCTATCCTATGACGGCATGATAATAACGGCCCGTCGTCAAGCAATATGAGGGCATGATCAAGTTACAGTGGCCCGCTCATTTCTGATAACTTGCGGGCGGTTTAATGATAACTCTAGCCATTTTAGCTATAATTTCTGATAACTTGCGGGCAGTTAATGATAATTCTATCCATTTTAGCTAGAAATATACGTTAATGTCCACATAAACTAAACTGATCTGTCCCCTCATACACTGGAAAATCACATGACCTGTTCTGCCAGTGACTAGATAACGACTAGATAGTAATCCTCACTCGAACAATAGCCCCATCCTTGGTACATCCCAACAGAACACAAGTGACATGTATGTCCATCAGAGCTGAATTCTTAATCTACACAGAAAACAAAATATGCTGACCAAAAATTAAGTGACGTCACTTTGAACAGGTTTTCAATCATATCAGGATGTGTCAGCTTGATGTGGGAAGAAAGCCTGAAGTGATGCAGATCTCACTATGGATACCACTATGGAGAACCCATGACCTGGGGTATGGTGCTGACAAACCTAGAAATGTTATCAGGGTCAACTGGGATTCAAACCCTGGATCATAGGGTTCTGGTGGGACCAAGCAACACAACGCCTTCAATGACTGGGCAACCATTTCACCCCCTACCCACACTCACCCAAACTTCCAATATGTGAGTGAGTGAGTATGGTTTTACGCCGCTTTTAGCAATATTCCAGCAATAACACGGCGGGGGACACCAGAAATGGGCCTCACACATTGTACCCATGTCGGGAATCGAACCCGGGTCTTCGGTGTGACGAGCGAACGCTTTAACCACTAGACTACCCGACCTCCCCAAAACTTCCAAGATGTGAGATGACAAGAAAAATTGGATTGTTATCAGCTGAGGTTGCAGGACCATCATAGCTTTTTCTAGACTCAGACAGTGGCCAAATTGCCACAATGAACAACCAACAATCTCTCACCCATATGAATTTTATGTCTTGACATTCAATTTGAAGCTGTCATCCTCATCGAAAGTGAAAAGATCATTCCCTTGCCTACACCACACATAGATAATGACTGTCTCAGAATTATGATTTCCACTGTCAATCTACAAAATATAGCCAGGGGCCTGTTCCACAAAGCGATCTTAGTGCTATGATTGTCATAAGCCTATGTTAAAGTATGGGAGTTACGATCATCTTAGCGCTAAGATCGTTTTGTGGAACGGGGCCCAGATCAATTGTAGTTTCTTGTTTTAACAAATATTTTTGGTATATATACCAAAATGCAGGAAGCAAAATGAAAAACAAAAATACTGCCATGAGTAATTTAAGGTGAATTTCCAATGAAACAAACTTAATGACAAAAATACAAACAAAATATATTAAATATATGCAATTTTAATCAACATGGCATTATGAATTGATTTTACAATGGGAAAGTTGAAGAAGTCCATCGACAAATAGTAAGTGAGCGAGTGGGATTTTACACAGCCTTTTACGATATTCCACCAATAACACTGGCGGGGACACCAGGAACAGGATTCACACATAATGTACCCAGGTGGAGAATCGAAACCAGACCTTCGGTGTGACGTGCTAACGCTTTAACCACTAGGCTAATCCACAGCTCCTTTAAAGTGAATATATCTTGCTTTAATGTTAAACATATTTGATATACCAGTGCGGTGGCTGCCCATTTTTCTTGAAGCTTCTCGAAACCTTGATACTTTACAGAAACATTTCATCAGTTCATTTGTACTAAATAAACAGCCCAACTGACCACCACTGAACTAGTCTGACAATGTGCCATGTAATTATGCATGCAACACACCTTGGGTTATAAATTAAGCTTCTATTTACAGTTTACATTACAGTGCATTACCAGGTTTTATCAAACTCTGCATCAATGTCTGTGGCAATACAAAACACCATTCTTTTCTAACAAGGTAGAATCCAGAATTCATTATTTTAGTCTCAACATATACAACACAAACAACTGCATTTAAACAGTCCATGTTTGTTGAGGAACATGTGTCTGTAAGCTGGACAGTGGTGTGGCTCTAAGTAGCACCAGTTGCTAGACCAATGCCCTTCACACACGCACCAAGCGTCATGAAGACTCTTCTTCTCCATCTCTCCTCAGTGGTAAGACAGTCTGCTACAGCACTTGTCTTCTGATGTCTGCCTCCTGGTGGAGAGTCATGATCACTTCCATACACGTCTGTCTCATGTTAAAGGGGAGAGAATGACGACCTTCCTTCACGTCTGTCTCCTGTTACCGAGAAAATGACGACCTCCCTTCACGTCCGACCCGTTACAGAGAAAATGGCGTCCTCCCTTCACGTCTGTCTCCTGTTACCGAAAAAATGACGACCTCCCTTCACATCCGACCCGTTACAGAGAAAATGGCGTCCTCCCTTCACGTCTGTCTCCTGTTACCGAAAAAATGACGACCTCCCTTCACGTCGGACTCCTGTTACAGAGAAATGACAACCTCCCTTCGAGGCTGTCCCCTGTTACCGAGAAAATGGCGACCTCCCTTCACGTCTGACTCCTGTTAGAGCGGAGAATGATGACCTTTCACATCTGCTGCCTGTCACCAAGAAAATGATCACCTCCCGTCATGTCCGCCCCTTTTCACCAACTGAGGGAAGGGCGACCTCCTTTCAAGTCTGCCTCCTATGAGAGAGGAGAGAATGTTGACCTCCCCACTTCAAGCTACCTCCTGTCACAGAGAGAATGATGACCTCTCTTCACATCCGCATCTTGTCACTGGAGAATGATGACGCCCCTTCATGTCTGCCTTCTGTCACCGGGAATGATGACGATTACCTCCTTTCACATCTGTCTCCTGTGAGATAGGACACCTCTTCAAGCAGCCTCCTGTCATCGAGAGAATGACAACATTCCTATATATCAGCTTGTCTGAAGGAATGACAATCTCACTTCACATCTACCGCCTGTCAGAGAAAACTGACGAGCTCCAACGTCTACTTCCTGGCACAGAGAAGAAATGAAAAGCCTCCCTTCATACATGTCTACTCCTGTGAGAGTCAAATTTACAGATGTCTACTCTCAACTCCATTCTCACCAGCATTCTCTCTCTAATCCACCTCATTCTGAATCCGAAAGAACAATGACCTCCTTGACCTCCTCTGGCGGCTCTACTTCATACACATCCGGTTCTTCTCCAGCCTCATCGATGTCGATATAGCACTGACTCGACATCTGCATGGCCTGCTTAAGGGGCGACATCGGGGCCTCTTTCTTCACAGGGGGAACATTCTTCACAGGGGGAACATTCGTCGCAGGAGGAACGCACTCTCTCTGTCTGTTGGCACTGATACCATTAACATTCATGGATCGTACAGGACTGGACGTGTGTGTTGTCAGAGGAATCCGCTTGTGAGGAGATACTGAGGTTGAAAAAGACACAGAGGAAGATGGTGGTCTGTGGGAGAAAGGAATTGAATGCAAAGAATCATGATTTGGAACTGCTCGGTTGTTTACACTATTTGTAGGTTTCATTCTTTTCACTGCACTATCATTACTGCCCAGCGATGACCACCAGAGGACTTTTTGACCCCCTGAGTGAGGCTTAGTTTGAAACTGTTTCTTAACCGTTGAAGTCAAAGGCAGATGGTCGCCTGGAGAGTCCAGAAATGAAGGCACAAGACTCTTATCATGGACTTTCATGCGGTTCTTACTTTCTGGGAACATGGATGAATCATCATTTGAATCGTCAACTTCAATGGGTGATGGTGATCTGTGCTTTGGCCTACATGTGACCTGATTGTGAGAAGTCCCTGAGAGGTGGTTGCTGGAGAGGGTGCTGCTTGCAGGTGTTCTCGACACCTGGGGTGGAGGGGTGCGGGTGGAGAGGGAGCTGCCCATGGGGGTCCTGGACACCTGGGGTGGAGGGGTGCTGGTGGATGGGCCCCCCTGTTTGCTGGGGGATCGGGGTTGTATGATGCTGCCTGGAGATTTGGCCAGCCAGTGTTGGGGGAGCTCCGATGTCTGGGGCCAACACTGGGACACAATGTCTGGACGAGCTGATGGGCCTGGAGGCGCTTGGGGTTCTGGGGAGGAGGATGGAGATCTGTCCTCGGTGTCGGAGAGCAGCTCAATACAACTCTTCTTTGAGCGGGGTTTAATTTCAATCAGGTCTTCAGCATCACTGGCAAGGTCTGAAAACAGAAAATGACTGTACAATGGGATTCTGCAATACAAAAATAAGGAAAAACATTCTCATTTGTAAAACCAGGGGCTCTATCAATCATATGCTCAGCCTTAACCAGGGATCAGACAATCAGACATTTGTATTTTGGTTATACCCACCTCATATTTGACAGTTGCTGGTGGTGCATGTATGAATAAAATAACAAAAAAATAAAATCAAGGGGCACTTTCACAACATACACTGTACTTTCTGGAGTACACTGCACACTTTTTCTCGATAAAAACACCACAATGAGTTTTTGATGTTTTCAAGGTAAATAAATGTTTGTAATCAATTTTATTAAATGTATTCAAAATTTAATTCAATTTTGTTAACATTTATTAATTTGTGTGTGAAATCGTGTGTGAAGTGATCGGTAGATTGCACAACTCACTGTTGTTTACAGCAACAACGGCCAGACTACCGATATTGATGCCTTGAGATGAACTCACCAAAAGTCATATTTGTTTTAGCTTGACTATCGTATATATTCCAACATAACATTTTTGCAAGTCCGAGGGAAGTCTCAATGACAGGTCAAATTTTTCCTCACGTAAAAATCATCTGGCAAAAGTGCTACTCTTATGGTTATTATTATTTTAAATAAATATGGTAAAGCTGCAACCAAAGTAACATGATATTGGAATATATGATGGCTAATATTTCATCTCAACACTGCTCAAATTTCACATTTTTATTGACCATTTAAGTAAGTTAACCCCTAAATTCCTGAAATGGATACTATGTATTTTTTTACTGCACATAATATTATGGTGACCGATAGCGCTCGGTCACCCTTGCAAGTCATGTATACACTAATCAACAACAAATGCATGTCAGTCTGGCTGCACCTCTTCAATTCATGTCCTTTGTTATGATAATCCAGTCTCAGGTTTTAATGTCCCTTCAAGTACTTTCTTGAAAATATCCGGTTGGCAAATATCAAAATCTCAGGTCTGCTCTTTTCCAAATCGGACATTTTGCAGTCACAACTGGACAAATCTGGTGCACACTGGTTTCCGGATCCCTGGCATTCACATAGAGGTTCTTTCCATCAACTATTTAAGGGTTGACTGTGTATTTTTTTCGGTTCATTGAGGTATGAATCGAAAAGAATACACAGTCAATGCTTATAATTAAATTCGACAGCGTAAAACATGTTTTATCTACAATAGTTTAACCAAAAACAGTTGTATATATCGAAACAGTCAAAAATGTGGAGATTGATAAACATTCAGGGTGTAGGAATACATACTGTGGCATGACATGAATCAGGTGATTGTTTAATTTATGCACATAAACTGACACGCCTACACTGTCAGTAGCCAATCAACGGAGAGCAGGATCAAAACAATGTTCATTGGACCTGTCAGTTAAGACAAGAGGCGAAAAGAACTGCAATAGTCAGACTGTAACGAACTGGAAGAAATATGTCCGGGAGAAGGCGGCTGTTTCAAATTACATGGTCAGTTACCGCCAGATTCAAACATTACTTCCCTGATTACGGTAAAACACAGTTGGAAAAATGCTAGTTAGAAAGGAAACCCGAAGACATGAAAGTTGAACCGAGTCGAGCAGAAAAAAAACAGGCGAGCGAGCCTGCACGTTTGCTGTTTCATTCATTCTCGGCCATCGGTTTCAAAGGGTAGTTTGGACAATGAATATGCATGAAAGTCGCTAAATGTCCTGTGCATGACGATACACGTGAGCAGAAAGGAAATTCCCTCGGCTGTTATATTGGGATTCCCCGACATTCCGAAGTAATAAAAGTAGTGCGCCTCGGTGGGCGTGGCTTAATTTTTTACATTCATTGGGAAATGAATGCAATAACACGTGACCAAATCAGCTAATCAGAATACAGGAATTTCAATGAACACAACAAAAATTTAATTAGTAATCAATGCTTTTGAAATTTTATCAGAACAAACGCTTGACAAAATAGTCATGATTTAGGTATTTTGATGGATAATTAAGAAAATTAAGAGTGAGTACAATTTTAAGTCCTCTCAAATCGATCAGTTATGTTTATATGGATATACATTACTATACTCCACAAGCCAATTCCGATTTGCTCCCTTGGTAAAATCCATATCCATTGTATGTCTTACTCCTTATCAATCTACAACTCCAATTTACTGAACTATGGCGAACACTAACTTTACCAGAGTGAGTGAGTGAGGTTTAATGCCGCTTTTAACAGTATTCAAGTCATATCACGGCGTGTCAGCTTGATGTGGGAGGATAGCCTGATATGATGCAAGTCTCAGACGTTGACCACCTCAGTGAAACCCAAGAGCACAGGTATGGTGCTGACAAACCTAGAAACATAATCGGGGCGAACCGTGATTCCAACCTACAATCATAGGTTTCTGGCATGCCCAAGGGACGCAACTCTGCACAGCGAATCGCAACGCCTTAAACGACTGGGCCACCTGTGCCCTCAAAACTTTACCAGATAGAAGATTGCTCAACACTGATCCAACTTATGCTTCCTTCATGCACCTGCCTCAGCAACCCACCTTCCTCATTTACCACCATCACATCCTCATCTGACGCGTCTTCCTCTTCCAGTCTTTCATCCTCCTCTGATCCTTCAGGGACTTCCACAGCTTCCTCTCCCGTCTCATACTGCATGTCCGAGAACTTCCGGATCACCTGGCGACAGAACAGTCTACACCATCACAGCTGTCACATATGTATACATGTCCTGTGTTAAACACTATCTATGTTTCACAGTTAAACACTAGCCATGTTACACAGATAAACACTATCCATAATGTACATTTATACACCATCCATGTTATAAAACAGATGCCAACCCTAAATGAAGCTTTGAATTAATCAGTGGAGTATAACACAGTAATTTCAGGAGAAAAAGAGTAACGTTAACTTTTTTTAAATGGTCTTCACTCATGACAGTCACTGATGTGAGTTTTCGCTTTGACATTTGCATTAGCCAAAGACATAAGTGAAACGTGGTGAAAACTCCACACATTCATAACATTCATCACAACACTAACTAGCTGTGTAATATCTGTGTACATGTTATTAGTTCCCGGTCTGCAACAACAAAGATTGATTGATCAAATGACCAATCAGAGACCTCTTATTACTGAATATTTAAAATTTATGATAATTGTATATTTATATACTTATCATATCTCAAACTATGAATTTCTTCCTTCTTTCAATCCTGGTGTGAAAATATCCTTGAACAAAGACTACATGGATCACCTGATACATGATTCTTTCTTAGATCGGACAGTTTAACTGTGATGCAGGGATTGTCGGTTGGGCATATAGCATGTGTTATAGGACCAGTAAGTATACAATATTTTTTTCAAATTTTCAAATTTTTAAACTTATCCTTTCTCATACTTTGCATTTTATTCCACGATTGGACGACGGGGCGCAGATACCCTAACCTGTTATAGACTACAACCGTGAGATATACATGAGGAAGCTGATGCTAAACTATGCTTCAACCACAAGATTGTTACACAGTTAGAGTCATGAGGGATGAGGACTTGGTGGAACATATCCTGTTGATGTTTGACCGGATCATAAGTTGTGACTCTCAGAGAATCTCTGCCCAATGGGATACTGACAGAATGACTGCCTTGAATTCCAAGTTGTTGATGTGGAGCTTCTTTCCGTCAATGGAACAGCCCCCTACCTTCTGATGATCTAGGACGTGAGCTCCCCAGCCCACGCTTGAAGTGTTGACAAAAAGTGAAGTGTCAGGATGAACGGCTTCAAAGAGTCTCCTTCGCAGAAATTCATTAACAGCAGCTTCCAATGGAGTTGCTGATGCAGTGATAACACAGTTGTCGTCCTGGAGGGAGGGCTTAATGAAGCAATGAATCAGTCAGACTTCCCTCTGGGTGAGTGCTTGCGCCCATGTTAGGAGACCAAATAGTTACTGCCACGGACGAAGGGGTAGAGGTTGTTTGAGTGTCCACGGCACTCAATGTAGCTTTGACCATCTGTAAAGGTGGACAAACATCTTGCCCAGCTCAGTGTTGAAGAGAGCGCCTATAAACTGAAGATGTTGAGTGGAATAAGTCTTGGACTTCCCACGTTGAAGTAACTTCTGTGGGAACTCTAGGTGTTTCACAAGGGTGTCTGGATCTAATTGGGCTAGAATGCAATTGTCTATATAGGCTTATCATACGGGTGAAAAGCCACTGGCCTGAAGAAATACCAAATGCGGTCACCCTCCATTGGTAGTGAAGGCCTTGGAAAATGAACCCGAGGTAATTTACTCCTGATGGATATGTACCTGAAGATAAGCGTCTTACAGGTCCAGCCTGACCATTAGTCTCCTAGTCAGATGATAGTTCAGAGTAGTGTGATGGAAATCATGCGAAAGTGCGGCAGATCTTAAATGTATAGCATGTTGAACATCTTCATGTTGAAGATCCTCCAAAGTGTGTCACTGTCTTTCTTCAGGACAAGGAAAATCGGAGAGAAAACCCCCGGGGTACCCTAGACATTATATGGTTTGTTTAGAGATCCAACATACCGATAGTCTCTTACAGAACCGGAAGTTGCTTGGCCGGATACTCCCTCTGTCAAGGAATGGACGTGGTCGGATTTGTCCCTGTTAAGGGCAGCCTGTACCCTTCCTTGAGGATTTGAGTGACAAAAGGGTTGGCCAGCACTGTCCAGTTCTCTACTGGGGTCTTGTAAACAGGTATGACTGGGGGCAGAAATTCCCATTTGTCGTGTAGTCGAGGTAAATCACTTGGTGGAGGCATCGCTGGCCTAGACGGCTCTCCTGTGTCCCTGCGGGGAGTGAAGTAGACAGTCCTGGTGTTGACTGACTTGGAGCCTCGTTGCCTTTAATGTCCATGTCCTCAGCCACAAAAAGAGCTTGTTGTGTGTCCGAGAACATCACGTAAGTCTCGTGAGAGGGTGAACTAAAGGTGGCACTGTTCCTTCCTCTGTTCATTGAGGTGTTGTTTCTGCAGCTTCGGGAGGTCCACTGAAACCTGGAGGTGTGTTTCTCTGATGACCTCATAGGCTACTTCTTGAATTCAGTTGGCGAACAGATACGGCATGGACCAGGGCATCTAGTAGAGACAGACTTTAATGTGGTCCTCCCACTGGCAATTTTGAAGGGGGCCATGGCGACAGCGCGCTGTAATAGCACCCAGGTGCTGTGATAACAAGTCCATGACCCCCTGAAGTGCCAGGGTTCCTCTGATGTGGGCTTCCTTTGAAGACTTGGTGTTCGCAACAGACGTGGCAAGAGCCTCAGTAGCTTACAGGATGGTGGCTATGAGCGGAAGTATCCAGGTGGGCCAGGTCCTGATCTTCAATAATTAATGTGAAGGAGGACCGCTTAGGATTCTGAGTAGGAAAGTCTCCATCCAATTGCGGTGCTGTGGTGATGGAGGTATCCTGTGTGTGCCTGTATCAGCAATGTTACACTGTGCATGTTCAACACTATCCATGTGAAACAGTAATACACTAAACACTGTATAGAGTTCTAGACTATCAACGTAACCACTATCCATGGTACACAGATATACACTACTATCTTTACTCACGTTCTCCAGATTAGTCTTTCCCTGCTGCTGGTTCTCCTCAAGCTTCTGTTTCAACTCCAAGTTGTACATCGCTGGGTCGTGACTCATACTGAAACAAATCAGGCCACATCCACACTGATACTTGTGTTAGCACAATAATACAGATACGAAAGTTTTGTTTGTTGTTTAATGCCGCACTCAGTAATATTCCAGCTATATGATGGCAGTCTGTAAATAAATGAATCTCAACCACACAATCCAGTGATTGATATCCTGAGCATAGATCCTGCAATTGGGATGCGATGACAGATATTAACCAAGTCAGCGAGCCTGACCACCTGATCTGTTAGTCGCCTCTTACAACAAGCATAGTCGCCTCTTACGACAGGCATGGGTTGCTGAGGAGCTATTCTAACCCAGATCTTCATGGGTCATGTATCCTAAAGCAAAGAAGACGAATCAGGAGGATCATCACCATGACATCACTCCGCAGTCACCTATTCCAGCATCATCAATAGACAGCTGTCAGTGGTCACCCTGAGCATCTCATGCCATAAGCAGTCTGTGACAAGAGAAATTTAAAAGCTCTTCTGATATCACTTTCAGTAGATTTCAGTATATGAGTAGCTGAGCTACACTGAAAGAACTTTAACTTGACTCAGACCTAGGACTTGGGGCTGATGCAGCAGACTGCACAAGCATGGGGTACAAATAGTTCAAGGGACCTCAAATGTTTCAAGAAGACCCATCACCTGACTGCTTGTTTATTATATGAATAATTGTTGTTTCATCTCACAGTAGGCAGTATTTCAACTAGTTCATATGGTCCTGTACATAACTGAGTCTGCGTCAGGCAAACCAGGGGTTGATACATTAGCAATGATCAATTATGACAGGATAACACATACTCATTGTGACCATCCATTTTACATTTACCACTGGCTATATCCAACTTGACTAAAGCTCTGTGGTTTATGTAAAACTTACTAATGTAACTAGATCATTTAGATTTTTTTTAGAAAACAACTCGTCCATCGAAATATTCTAACATATAACTAACCTTGCTAGCATAGGGTGGACGGGTAATATTTTGACTCCCCATGGTAGCTGTGTCTAAACCCTGCTAGCATAGAGTGGAAGGGGCCTATTCTGGCCTTGGCTCCCCAGTGTTGGCTATGTCTAACCCTGCATGCATAGAGTGCATGAGCCCTATTCTGGTCTGGACTCCCAATGGTGTTGGCCATGTCTAACCCTGCATGCATAGAGTGCATGAGCCCTATTCTGGTCTGGACTCCCAATGGTGTTGGCAATGTCTAACCCTACTAGCATAGGATTCATGGGCCCTGTTCTAGCCTGGAATGATAACAGTGTTGGCAGTGTCTAGCCCTGCTAGCATAGGATTCATGGGCCCTGTTCTAGCCTGGAATGATAACAGTGTTGGCAGTGTCTAACCCTGCTAGCATAGGGTGGATGGGTCATATTTTGGCTTTGACTCAACAGTGCTAGCTGTGTCTAACCCTGCAAGCAAAGGGTGCATGGGCCCTATTCTGTCCTGAACTCCGCACAGTGTTGACAATGTGGATAAGGATCTTACTCTGAGTAGTCAGTCAGCTTACAGCCGAAGGTTGTGATGTAGTCGTCCTGTCGTCGCTGTTGCAGCAGGTTTCCCACGTCAGTAAAGGCCTCACGAGCGACGCTGTCTATCTCTTTTTGACTGGCAACAAAAACGGGAAACATGAACAGTCTGCACAATGTCGGCCAGGCCACAACAACACATAAACTAGTCTTGAAATGCTCCCTTCATCTCAATGGGTCGCTGATAAAGTGGGTCAGTGGGTCAATCATCATGTAACTTACTCTTGACCATGCATCTGGAGTCCAAATTTGATAAATGATCGATGCTCACCTGAGATGCAGCTTCTGGTTGATGCTGACTTTAGCCACCAGTCTCTTCATGTCATGGAAGTCGGGGAAGACCTTCTTCTTGTTAATCATCTTCTCTATCTTCTTATTGACCTCGGGGTACCTTGTACCTGCAACCATAAACCATCTTTCATAGGGCTAGTATTCTGATCCCTACCTCCATGGACATAAAATATTCCCAAAATGTTGCAAGGACATCTTGAATCTTCAGATATTAAATTTCTACACCATTTAAGGAACACTGGTACTTTCAAGGATGTTTATGTGAGACAGAAGCGACTGGGCGACTGTGACTTTGTTTGTTTGTTGTTTTAACGCCGCACTCAGCAATATTCCAGCTATATCAGTATATGACGGCGGTCTGTTAATAATCGAGTCTGGACCAGACAATCCAGTGATTGACATCATGAGCATCAATCTACGCAATTGGGACAGGATAACATGCATCAACCAAGTCAGCGAGCCTGACCACCCGATCCTGTTAGTCGCCTCTTGCGCCAAGCATAGTAGCCTTTGACCGCAAGGATGGGTTGCTGAAGACCTATTTATACCCAGATCATCACAGGTCGACTTATCATTAAGCATGTTAAGAAGATGTAACAAAGCTTAACAAGATGAAGAATATGAACAAGCCTTAAAAAGCACCCTCATTATATAAACTAAACATGCTAAATGGTAAATGGATATTAACAGTTTACTTTTTGAAAGATTATATTTCTACACCCCCAGACAATTAATGTATCTATGAAAATATCATAGAACAATGTGTCCCCTATGCAACCACTCTCAGTACCCTGGTAGTTGAACCTCCTCTCCGTGGGACGGCCAGTGGTGGGGGCGCGGTCTTTCAGCTCACACAGCTTGTTCCACACAGCCACAAACTTCTTCTTGAGCTTGTCCTCGTAGATGTAGGTGGAGTCTTCCTCAGCCAGGTCATCGAGGCTCAACTCACGCTCCTGAACCTGCTGGATCTTAGTCTGCAGCTTCTACACGCACAAACACAGATAGTAACATCTTAGTCTGCAGAATCTACACACACAAACACAGATAGTAACATCTTAGTCTGCAGTATCTACACAAACACAGATAGTAACATCTTAGTCTGCAGTATCTACACACACAAACACAGATAGTAACATCTTAGTCTGCAGTATCTACACACAAACACAGATAGTAACATCTTAGTCTGCAGTATCTTCACAATTACAGATAGTAACATCTTAGTCTGCAGTATCTACACCCACAAACACAGATAGTAACATATTAGCCTGCAGTATCTACACACACAAACATAGATAGTAACATCTTAGTCTGCAGTATCTACACAAATACAGATAGTAACATTTTAGTCTGCAGTATCTACACACACAAACACAGATAGTAACATCTTAGTCTGCAGCTTCTACAAACACAAACAGTAACATATTAGTCTGCAGTATCTACACACAAACACAGATAGTAACATCTTAGTCTGCAGTATCTTCACAAATACAGATAGTAACATCTTAGTCTGCAGTATCTACACCCACAAACACAGATAGTAACATATTAGTCTGCAGTATCTACACACACAAACAAGGATAGTAACATCTTAGTCTGCAGTATCTTCACAAATACAGATAGTAACATCTTAGTCTGCAGTATCTACACACACAAACACAGATAGTAACATCTTAGTCTGCAGTATCTACACACACAAACACAGATAGTAACATCTTAGTCTGCAGTATCTACACAAATACAGATAGTAACATTTTAGTCTGCAGTATCTACACCCACAAACACAGATAGTAACATCTTAGTCTGCAGCTTCTACAAACACAGATAGTAACATCTTGGTCTGCAGCTTCTACACACACTCACACTATATGTCAAAAGCATAGCCATGATAACATGGATACACACAAGTGAAATATAACAAAGGATACTGTTTCAATAATTTCCCACATTGACTGGCTACATTTCAGGAGAGGACCAGCACTTGTGAATGCACTTACCTCCAGTAGCTTCTCCAACCGATGGATGTGTTTCTCAGACACTTCCTTTTTCTTCTCCGGTTCTTCCTTTTTCTTCTCCGGTTCTTCCCTTTTCTTCACTGGTTCCTCCTTCTTCAATCCCCCTCTTTCCAAAGCTGATCCCTGAGATGTTGAACCAGTTGCCTGGTTGGTCCTGGGTGAGTTACATTGCTCAGACATCACACCACTGGATGAATCACACTGCTCAGATGTGACATCAGTTGGTGAGTCACTATGCTCCGCAGTGATAACAATGGGTGAGTCACAATGCTCAGACGTCACACCAACAGATGAGTCGCAATGCTCAGACATGACATCGGTTGGTGAGTCACTACATTCTCCAGTGATAACAACAGGCAAGTCGCTATGCTCAAACGTCACACCAATGGTTGAGTCACAATGCTCGGATTGGACGTCAGTTGTTGAGTCACTATGTTCTACACTGACAACAACGGGCAAGTCACTATGCTCAGAGGTACCACCACATGGTGATTCAGAAGGCTTCGGGGTTATTACAACGGGTGAGTCACAAGACTCACCAGTAATGGCAAGCGCTGAGTCAGCAGTAACTTCAAATGTACCTGGTGACCCCTCAGTGGTGGACTTGGTCTGAGATGCTTCTCCAGCTGCTGGTGAAGGAATGTTCGTGTTAGAAGATGGAGTGTGTGATGACATAGCTTCAGGCTGCTTGGTCCCAGGCGATGCGGTTCTCTCCGGTGGAGAGTCTTTTGATTCAGGTACAGAAACTGTTAGAATCTCAGTGTCTTTCGAACCTGGTGACTGTTCACATATTTTTGCTTCATCTACAGATGGGGAGCTTCTCTTTGGTTTCTCATCCTCTTCAACATCAACAGAGTCCGACTCCACGTCAGGCTGTAACTCTGAATCTTTTTCAGCCACATCAGAGATTTTATTTACAACTATATCTAACTCTGAGATCATATGTGCAACTGAATTTTTACCTGAATTAAGAGTCGTTTTTTTACCATTATTTGAATGGCCCCCATCAGCTGCTGATGGTGACCGGGCACTATTTGTGGCAACAGGATGGTCACCAGTAACAACATTACTGGCGGCTTCTATTGTTCCATTTGTAGCCGGTGAAATATCAGCATTGCATATATCAGGGGTCAGAGGTCGGGACCCAGTCAGGGTCCTAGATGAGGAAAGAGACAATTTATTAACCTTGGCTGGTTTACTGTCTGCTACTTTCAATGCTGAATCAGAACCCGATGGCTTCAAACCATCATCTTGTAAATTTACATCAGTGTTGGCAGCTGTCGCTTTTAGTGAATCTGTGCTTTCACATGGTGGACTATCATCAATCAGAATACAATCATCATCATCATCATCATCATCATCATCATCATTATTCAACACTGCACTCTCAGCATTGCCTGTTTCAGGCAGCACCGACTTCTCATCTTCAGATTTCAGATCTCCATCTATGTTGGTCATACATCCATTACCAAGGGAATCTGCCTCGCTGGCAACAGTGTCATCAGTCAAAGCTTCACCACTGCTTTTCTTATCCTTCAGGTTCCTGATGATGTCTGCAAGCTTTGACGAGCACGCTGAGTGAGGAGATATCTTTAGCTTGCTTTCCCACTGTTTGTCTCTTGGTGTGGAAGACTGCAGAGCATTATCTATGGCTTGTTTTGAAGGCTCCCCAAGCACTGGAGAAGATGTCAGTGATCGACTCTTACTGTTCTTATCTTCTTTATCTCGGAACTCTCCATTAGAGGTTTTGGTCCTCTTCCACACAGTGTCATCCGAGTCATACTCAGATGGTTGTTTACGTTTTTCTCCCTTCCTACCCTTGGCGTAAGCCTTCAGCTCATTCAAGCAGTCCTTGAGATGGACGAACAGGTGCCTGTTGTCAGACTCCATCTTCTGTCTGCAGCTCGCCAGAAGCTGGTACAGCTCCTGGGTGCCCTTGAACTTGTCAGAGCACTCATCATAGCGTTTCTTCACCAGGGTGATGAGCTGCTTGCTGGGACCACTCAGGGACTGCTCGCAGAAACAGAGGAACTGAAACAGATAAGGAGTGAATGAATGCGTTGGTTTCACTGGCCGATTTGAACATTATTTCACAGGATTTTATCTTGACTTACAAAAGTGGTTGTCCTGGGGACCCCTAATAATCGGTGGTAAGGGTCCTTATAGGCAATGCGAGGATCCTGTAAAGTAATGAAATGGTGTAGTTTACTGCTCGTTTTTATCATTACTTTAGAGCCTGGAATGAATCAGTGATCATGTGGACAGTGGTAATGATTGATGGATGAAATGACAGACACCTATAACTGCTTTTGGTGCGCCAGGGTTCGAATTAAGGAACTTGATTTAACTTGCACTAGGTGCATGTTGACATGAAAACCTATTTGCACCTGAGAAAACCAGGTTGCACCCTTGTCCCATTCAAAGATGAAATTCATGCACATAACTAGGATAAATAAATAAAATCTCAGGTCTCTGATGACTGTGATATGCGTCATGAATTACACAAAACACGGAGTAGTGATGTAGTATGGTAAATGAAGCTTAGAGATATTAGGTTCAAAGATCGGACAAGTATTACAGTAAGGGTAGGAATTTGTTTACATGCAATTGGTGCATGTAGACATAAATATTAGGTTGCATTTTTCAATAATAGGTTGCACTTGTGCATGTTTTCATAGCTAAATTGAGCCCTGTGCGCTGTAGGTACAATGAATCTTAATGTGCGTCCTTCGGAGCGCAGTATATTCTTTTTCGACGTCCAATCTAAACAATTGTGAATACTGGATGCACATTGTGCATTGTGTAAAATCCCAATCTCATTAAAATCAGATCTTAGTTCTCGCTGCCGCTAAACAAAGATCTGAGGACATCCCATTACAGGTCACGTCAGACCAACCTTTCGCAAACTCTGACTGACCAATTGAATTACTGACAAGAAGTCGACATTAGCCAATCAGCATGATCAGAAGGCAGCTTTCTCATGCTTTACATCACTAATTTCAAATTGGCGACTACGCTTCGAAACATATTTTGACAAATTATCGCTTAAAAATTTGAAACCTGAACAAAAGAAAGTTCTAGAATGGCTAATATATGGTCTAGATTGTATAGATTCAGTCGTTAAGCCCGTAACTATCTTCCGGAATACCCCGTTTTAACGTTTTCGAGGCTGCATGATTAGAAATCACATTCCGTCTGTCACTTTCATGATCCCTGTAAGTGACGCTCTGATTGGTCGTTCTGATTGGTCGTTCTGATGTGACCCCTAATGGGATGCGGTAGCGAGAACTAAGATCTGATTTTAATGAGATTGGTAAAATCCTGATTTCAGTTATATCATGGAACTTCATACTGCTTTCTGTGGGAGGAAGCCTGAAGTTAAGCAGGTCTTAAACATTTGCCACTCACGCACAAAGGTATGGTAGTGGCACATTAAAAATGAACAGTAATAATCAAGGCAAGGTTTAGAACCTGTGATTATCAGATCTTGGAACATGTAAGTGATAAAACAGTAATAACCAATTTAAAAATTAATTCTGCTAAAAATGCTGTTACAGGTGACAATGTGTGCATTCATGATTACTCACTGCAGTGGAGTTCATGTATATGATATGCCTGCATTCAATCAGTATATAAGGTGAGGTGAAATGGGGTTTAACGTTGCGTCCAAGCTTATTGCACTTATATAGCGACGTGCATGCACGTGTGTGTGTGTGTGTGTGTGTGGCTGCTTGTACTAGTCCGGACTGATGCCGATTTAAAGTGCTAGCACACTGAGATGCCATGCCGCAGTTTAACATGAATACCCCACTCAGACACAGTATACTGACTCCGAGCTGACCAGTCCTTTAGCCCCAAGTACTATCTTTTAACATCTTTTGGTATGACGTAGCCGGGCATCGAACCCCGGACCTTCTGCTCTCCGGGCGGATGCTCTACCACTAGACCACGGAGGCGGTCCAGTCAGTATATAAAGAAATACAGACATGTGTGCTGAATAGGCTACATGGGTAATTATGCACAATGATGTAATACTATTTGATTCCTTAACATGCTTAAATGTTTAATGGTTATTTGTATGCATGCAGCACAAAATTAATTGGGCAATGGGACATATGCTGCATATTCATACAAATATGCAGCTCATCTATAGCTCTGAGTTGGCAAATATTAGAGCCCCAGAAATCATCTGTACCGAAAATATCACATGAATAGTTCACTCATTGTTTCAAGAAACCAATATTTGACAAACATGGTAATCATGGTAATTTGGCAGCCAGATATGAATATAATATTCAGGTGTTTGTTTGTAATACACCTTTCTCATAATTATCACACTCATAAATAAAAACAAAAATAAATCAATAATGGAAAAAAACAACCTGTAAACTATGAAAAAGGTCCAAACTGTAATATGCAAGGAGTTTTGCATGTCAAGTAATCAGGTAAATTGAACAGATTGAAACATGGAAAGGTAAGTGACCATTGACCTAACATGGAAGTGCCAAGGTCAGTTCAAACTGGTTGTAAGTCTCACCTTGGCATACTCTTCTTCTGTAGCAGACATGATTCTGATGTTGGCTTACTCCATTCTGCAACACTCACACCTCACTGGAACTAAAAACATGTCAATGTCATTGGCATAGTGTCTAGGGACTGAAAAACAATGCATGTTTGCCCGATGGTGGCGCCAGTCTATCACTTTTTCCACAATTTCAAAACCAAAGTTTGTTGGGAATCCAATGTTGCTGCCTTGAAATAATGGTGGTTATTCTGACACAAATGCCAAAAAATTGGCTTTTTCACAAATATGGTTGTCCTGCATTCTAGGATCTTAGAAGAATGCATGGGATAAACACATTTACAAAGTGATAAAATGAGCATTGTTGTTGAATTTTCAAGAGAGAAAAATCATATACAGCAAAAATAACTATGAATAATATGAGGAAGGAAATTGAGAATTGATTTGAAGATTCTACTGGAAGGAAAAAATTGGAAGAAAAATTATGGAAGACGGATCCTTAAATTACAACACACAGAACAAGAAGAAGGAAAGTAATTCAAAATAATAATCTGATGGAAGCAAGCTATGTTCCTTGTTCCGGAAAAAAGAATAACCTTTTCTCAAAACAAAACATGATGAAATTACAAAAGGCTTCATTTACATGTGTTGTCTGTACAACATTGCCAAAGTTTATCCATTATCAACTGCTTGCATTCTCAAAGGCATTGAGTTACAGCCCAGTAAGGCAATGACAATTCGTTTTGGTTTTGGGTTGGTTTGTTGTTTTACACCAAACTCAGCAATATTCCACACGACGGTCTGTAAATAATCGAGCCCAGACAATCCAGTGATTGATATCATGAGCATCGATCCACACAATTGGGATTGATGACATGCATCAACTAAGTCAGCGAGCCTGACCACCCGATCCTGTTAGTCGCCTTTTACGACAAGCATAGTCGCCTTCTACGGCAAGCATAGGTTTCTGAAGAACTATTCTATCCCGGATCTTCACGAGTCAACAATTCGTAGTACATGTAGTAAGAGTATGTAAATTCTCCAGGTTACCCTTATCTATGACATGGAAGGTTAACGTCCATCAATAAAAAGCACTTTAGCGAGGAAAAGTTCTCTACATAAGGATGCAGCTCATGGATATTAATGAGTCAGGAACCAGGTTTCGCAGTGTTTTGACATTATGAGTTCAGATGATTTATTTGAAAACTCCCATCCCAAATCATGGATAGAACATTCATCAAATTAATATTTTTTGCAGTGTAAACTTAGTGCATAAATATATTCATATAATTTTATATGGTGTTTATTTTAGTAAATGTTGTCGCCCTATAACGCAGTTGTGAGCAAGGCAAAGCAGCACTTTATGTTGCTTTAGTCACAACCATCATATTATGACACAATGTATCTAGTTGTTTGAATTCTTTATAAACTTTTATTGTTGGTTGACATATTAAACCAATATTCTAACAGTGTATTTTGTGATGGTGAATGTTCTTATCAATAATTGGACAAGTGCTTGTAGATGGAGGTAAGATTTATCTCCCTTTTTTAACGAAGCAAACCACAGGTGTTGCAGTTTCGCTGAACCCATGGGTGTGATGATTGAGTCACTAAAAAGTATCATAAAAACTAGTATATCTCAAGAAAGATTATTTAGCCTAGTATCCCTTCACTGATCTTGCATGCAGTTAGGGTTAGTCAAGTTAGGTTTAGGGTATGGTAAATCAACTTTATCCTTAGCCCTTATTAGTATGAATGAAAATTGCAGTGAAAATATTCTATATAGGCTCCGAACTTTGATAAATAATACCATAAATCGTATTGGCAGTCATATAGTTATCATTAAAAGGCATATGAGGTAGGCCTAATTAGCTACATAAGTGATATGGTATTTTTAATGATTATATGTAGGCTTGCTTTTCAAAATTATCATTCTTATTCAGTCTTTGAACAAGAATTGTGTCCATATAATTAACGTATCAAGTAGGTTTATAAACTAACGCAGTTACACAACACATTGTACACGGCATGTCACTGAACGCTAAAACAGATAAATCGGTAAGACTGCCGCGCGTGTCCCCCCTAAAACATATATATGATTCAAAGGATTAAACAATACATACATATACAACTTTTGGAGGTGACATACGGGCGGAAGTCTTTCCGATAAATCAGCTGGTACTGTATTTTGCAGGCTGCATCACGTTTTTTAGTTCCTTCGCCGGCTTCGACAAGATCATCATGTGAAGATGTGGAGATGCGATCTTTCTAGATAGCTGAGTCAATTAGTCAAATATCCTACGTTGAGAGCTGTGAAATCAAGTCATTTGTATCAAGACTTGTTGAATGGTAACTTAAGATGTATAAAATCCATAATTAAAGCAACTTACACAAATAATCTGCCGTACACAATCACAAAGGATGAACCATTTCACAAGCTTTTAGCGTTAGTTTCCAAGTTACCCCCCCTTTGGCGGAATTAATTATCGCCCTTACTAGAATAGATGGCGCTCGTAGCAGTTAATCTCTGAACTGGTGCGACTGTCTAAAATGCGCGGACAACTTAGTACGTAAAAACGCTTTCTTAAATAGACGGTAGCCTTGCGGTAAATCGGATCGCATACGTGTGACTTCCACGGTCGCATCTCTCCCGAGGTTTTCCGAGTGGACACGCACTTGCCACATCAACATGGAGGCCGTCTATAGTGTACCGTATAGCTTTCTGCAGTGCCCAAATATAAAATTGAAGAAACCATCATGGTTCAAACAGCCTTCTGCTATGATGGTGTTTGCATTAGTTCTTCTTTCATATTTCCTCGTCACAGGAGGTGAGCGTACCGGTTATCTTGTTCAATATCACGAATTCTATGTCAACTCCATTTGCAATGCTAAAGATCGAGATTTTAGTTTTGTAGAAGTCATACACAAGGATTGACAGTTTTGTTTATTTGTTGCAGGCATCATTTATGATGTTATCGTTGAGCCTCCAAGTATAGGTTCTACGACAGATGAGAGAGGAAATACAAAGCCTGTGAGTATCATCAAGCACCCAATATAAGTAGCTGCAGCAGGGCGGGGTAAATGAGGATGCCAGTCTCATTGCTCACCCCAAAGTTCTATTTAACACAAATCTCAAGCGTATGAAAACAAAATGGATGAGATTTGAAGTTAAATTAGTGAAAAATATAAATACTATGAAATGATACAGGCAACTTTCACATACACCATTAATTTTATAAAAATGTTCAATCAGACTACCAAATATGATACTGCCAAGTTCCATATGCCTTCTAATATAAATTCCCCCACACCCCCCTGAGTCTGGGGGCAGTCGGGTAGCCTAGTGGTTAAAGGTTAAAGATCAGAGGTCCGACTTGTTGACTTGGTTGATGCATGTTGTCATATCCCAATTGCATAGATTGATACTGATGTCAATCACTGGATAGTCTGGTCCAGACTCAATTGTTTACAGACTGCCATCATATAAATTGTTTGATAGGCATAACTTAGAAGGTGACGGATGACAAAGTAGACACAATTTATGGATAACAACTTCTTTAATTACTGTAAAGACGTTCGGTATAGATCCTTATACCATTGACAACAGTATAAGGATCTATACTGAAACGTCGCCATTACAGTAATTAAAGAAGTTGTTATCCTTAAAATGTGTCTACTTTGCCATCATATAGCTAGAATATTGCTGAGTGCGGCGTTTAACTACAAACAAAGGGAAACCATATAAAGTACAACAACTTTTGAATAAAACTGCTCTGTTCAAACTCATTTTGATATTCTGAATACAATATCCCCTATTAACAGATTAAAATGATAAAATGTTTACAGATTTGATGTGTATCACTTCACATTGAAACACAACTCTCGATTTCTTTTCCGTTCCTTACCGTATTCTCTTCAAAGTACTCCTCTGTAAACATTAGAGATGTAATAGTCATCAAGTATCTGGTACATTGTATACTGTGATATGCTTTAGGTGGGCTCAGAGTGACTGACTCGCTTGTATTGTTGAGTGTCAGTTGCATCTTCTTAATCCCACATCACCAGCTGACATCTCATTAAACATGCATAGTAATTAACAGCAGTGGCACTAATTATGCCTGAGGTCATTTGGGGCTTTCAGTCAGAGGAAAAATATTTACCTCGTTAGTGTGAAAAGTAGTTTTATCAGAAGAGTTAGCATGCTTGCTGTTTGAATCCCATTAGCATGATTAGGCCAAAGCCACTGTTGGAGGTATATTGATTTTTGATTATTTATAGAAAGACAATGATCATACCAAAATAACAACTTATTTACATCTTACTAATAGGGACTTGCTCACCACCCAAGCATCTATCATGTCTATGAAAGGTGGCAGTTACACATAAAATGTTGCTGAAAGTTGAAAAAATGTGACCCTATAAGAAACAAGAATTTTTTGGGCCAAGCGACATTGAACAGATCATACTGTGTTGTGATAGGTCATCGTTTCATGGTGAACCCGTGCTTGTGGGTTTCACCGAAGTGGCAAACGTCTGAGACCTGCATCACTTCGGGCTTTCCTCCCACATCAAGCTGACATGCTGTGATATAACTGGAATACTGTTAAAAGCAGCTTTAAACCCAACTCACTCACTCACTCGTTTCATCATGTTTATGGTGATGCGCATTGTGTAACACACTTATTCCATATCTCTGACAGGTGTGAAAAATACTGAAAATACAGGGAGTTTCCTCCAAATACATATGCAATAAGATTCATAAGTAAATTGGTGCAATGATAGCATGAGATCACATTTTTCCTTTTTTTTGCACAAAACCACATTCATGGCATTTGGATCTTGTCTACTTTCATTTAATAATATTTCAGAAAAATGTCAATGTTGGCTTCTTCTTTCCATCATCTAATTTACGTGCAACTTGTATTGGTGTTGTTCCTTTAGCAATTTTTCAGACTATAAATTTGGCCTTAGTTTCTCTCTTGTAAATTGTCTCTTTCTGCTTATTCCTGTCTACCTCTACACACCACGCATAGTAATAACTTCTTTAATTTGTCATGTCCATGGTTTGTAAACAGAGCTTTAGCCATAAGAATAAATGGCAAAAATGATTCATTTCTATATGTAATAGGACACAAGGTCTCTTTGTCAGTTAGCATGGTTAGTAGTAGCCATTTTCATAGCCTACTTTTTTCATTTATTCTTCCAAATACTAGTGATGCAGCTCGGCCTGATCTACAAGCCTTAATACCGATAACATGTGGACACTTTAGACACTTTCTCAAAACCCTGTAATTCTACTAGCCGTCTGGATATCTTAAACATTAGACAAAATGACTGGGGCTAGCAGGGGCAGGTGTCAGATTGCATCTTGAACACCTTGACTAGTGTTATGTGTTTGGTATTTGAAGGGCTAGAGTTGTGTCTGTTTCAGGTTGCCTTCATGCCGTACAGGATCAATGGGCAGTACATCATGGAGGGCTTAGCCTCCAGCTTCCTGTTTACTCTCGGTGGTCTGGGCTTCGTTATCCTCGACCAGACCAACAAGCCGTCCATGCCACGGCTGAACCGAGTCCTCCTGCTCAGTGTCGGCTTCATCGCCATCCTCATCTCCTTCTTCATGTGCAGGGTGTTCATGAGGATTAAGGTTCCGTAAGTAGAACATTAGCGTTGTAACTCGTATGTTGGCATAGAGGATCAAGGTTCCGTAAGAAGAACATCACTGTTGTAACTCGTACGTTAGCATAGAGGATCAAGGTTCCGTAAGTAGAACATCACTGTTGTAACTCGTATGTTAGCATAGAGGATCAAGGTTCCGTAAGTAGAACATCAGCGTTGTAACTCGTAAGTTAGCATAGAGGATCAAGGTTCCGTAAAGAGAACATCAACGTTGTAACTCATATGTTAGCATAGAGGATCAAGGTTCGTCAGTAGAACATCAGCGTTGTAACTTGTACGTTAGCATAGAGGATCAAGGTTCCGTTAGTAGAACATCAACGTTGTAACTCATATGTTAGCATAGAGAATCAAGGTTCCGTTAGTAGAACATCAACGTTGTAACTCATATGTTAGCATAGAGAATCAAGGTTCCGTAAGTAGAGCATCACTCTTGTAACTCGTACGTTAGCATAGAGAATCAAGGTTCCGTAAGTAGAGCATCACTCTTGTAACTCGTACGTTAGCATAGAGGATCAACGTTCTGTAAGTAGAACATAGTGCCGGGCTGTCTATCTCATGTTAGCATCGACTGTAGTTGCAGTGCCGGGCTGTCGTAACTCATGTAAGCATTGACACCAAGTTGAAGCACTAATCTGTTGCCATATAGCATTGGGCTGTTGTAACTCATATGTTGGCATTGACTTTAGTTGTAGCACCAATGTGTCATAACGTAGGTTAGCATAGACTTACAATAGTTGTATTGTCATGACTGTTGTCATGCCAGTCTTTTGTAACATACTTTATTATCGATTTACAAAGTTTGTCATAGCTCCAGTATGTATGTTTTTAGCATAATCTACCCAACATGAGCCGAGTTACGACGACCATGTTAGCATGGACGTACAAGAAAAGAAGAAATCCAGTGGGCACTTGACTCATGAATGTATTTTTGTTTCAGGGGCTACTTGATGTCTTAGGCAGCTCCCTCTACGACAAAGAACATCGTCTACATCATATGCACCTAGCTGTCTGTACACACTTTACATTTAAAAATAAACTATTTTTATTTGTTTTATAAGCTTGTTTATTTGTTGTATGTCCAGTGATGCACCTCAGAGCTACATGGCAGAAATAGTGCTCATTTGGTGTTTGGTAGAAGACCACAGAGGTGATCTAGTGGATAGAGCATCTGCCCGGAGAGTGAAAGGTTGACAGTTCGATGCATGGTTGCTTCATACCTGAAGACGTGGAATGATGGTACTCCCGTTGACCGTGCTTGGCATTCAGCATTAAGGGGATCAAAGGAGGACTGGTCGGCTTGAGTCACTGTACCGTGTCTGAGTGGGGTATCCATGTTAAACTGTGGCATGGTATTGGTGGGCTAGCACCATAAAACCAGTATTAGTCCGGACTAGAACAAGCAATATTTACGACGTTAAGCCCCATTTGACGGCACCTGTTTGGTAGAAATATTTTAACTCACTGTTTGCTCTGAGGCAGTGAGGCGGCCTAGTGGATAATTACATCCATGTTTAATTTGTGTCATGGGTACAGTGTGTAACGCCATTAGACGAATGAAAGACTGTTCAAAGAGGCAATGAACCCACTCATTCATCGTGTCCTCGGTGACAATGCTGTGATATTGCTAACATCACCTGACTCCCTCAGTGTCACTCCAAAGTCTGAGGGGTGACATGATATTATTTAGCAGTCGGGGCCCCTGCAATTGGTTTTCTCAACCTCAGACTATATGCGACCTGGGAAGATCCGGGGTAGAATAGGTCTTCAGTAACCCATTCTTGCCATAAAAGGCGACTATGCTTGTCATAAGAGGATGCATGTCATCGATCCCAATTGTGTGGATCAATGCTCATGATGTCAATCACTGGATTGTCTTGTCCAGACTCGATTATTTACAGACCGCCGTCATATAGCTGGAATATTGCTGAGTGCGGCGTTAAACAACAAACCAACCAACCCTCCCATAAGCCTTAGTGAAACTTTCTGACACATGAATGGATGGCATTGAAGGTCAAGTTCACTCAGTGTGAACTAGGCATTAAAACACTTATGAAAGGAATTTGATGAAACTTGGTATACATGATTTCTAATGTGGGATGACCTTTGTATAAGGTCAAGGTCATGAGGGCAAGTAATAAGACATTTGAAGTTTCTAACATGCGAAATCAATGCATGGCAAAGGACACATTTTAGCTTTTTCTCGAAATGTGTCCCTCTAAAACTATATTTGCTCTACAAGTCCAAAGCCTTTGGAACACAGTTGAGCTTGTTTCGTATTCTTGAGGATGATTGCTCTAGAGTCATCGTTAATAGTATATTTTGAATTAGTGACAAATGTGAATAGAACCAGACATTTCAGACCACTCGTGTGTGAATATTTGCTTCATTGTGTAAACATCAAATTAATGTCAAAACTGAGCATATGCATAAACAACAAACAATACAATACATTTACATTTGTTTACATTTTAACCCAAAATGTGTGAGTTGGCCATATTGAAAATCAGATTTGTACTGCAAGAATAAATGGGGATGTCATCTTTGGTGGGAAGAAGCATGGGAAATTTCAGCTTCATTGGTCCAGTGGTTTCTCAGCAGAAAATGTTCACATATAGGCACACAAAGGCTTCAGGGGAAAAGGTTGGGGGGGGGGGGGGGGGTTTCGAAGCAAGCAGGGTAGTGCAACTGCACTTGAAACAAACAACATAACAGCCTGTGTCATCTTCAGTATTATTGTAGCCTTGATGGATGTAACAATCAAGTCGGTCACACATCAACTTTCAGTGGAACGTGCACATTTAACAGAATCTGTCTCAAACATTGTCCATTGTTCTTTACCTGATATGGAAAACAGTTAATTCAAACCAACAACAGTCTGTAATACGCACTGTCCACATTGACAAGGTCTCATTGTATTCACCAACAATCCAAGTGAGCCAGTCTAGAATACAAGGTGTCCACAGCAACAAGGTCTTATTGTATTCACCAACACACCCACTGTGTGGGACATCTGTTATACAAGGTGTCCACAGTAACAAGGTCTCATTGTATTCACCAACAATCCCAGTGAGCCAGTCTAGAATACAAGGTGTCCACAGCAACAAGGTCTTATTGTATTCACCAACACACCCACTGTGTGGGACATCTGTTATACAAGGTGTCCACACTAACAAGGTTTTATTGTATTCACTAACACTCCCACTGTGAGAGCCAGTCTGGAATACAAGGTGTCCATAGTAACAAGGTCTCACTGTATTCGCCAACAATCCCACAACCCAAACATATGAGGTGTCCCAAGATACACACATCCAGCATCAGTGTAGAACCCCATCACTTCACAATTGGATCTAAAGAAACTAATGTTCCAGTTCAAGTGTAGGTTGGTGTACTGTACTGCGTCAACGTGACTGTGTGGTCAGCTGGCCGGCATGTAGTTGGGGTCAAGGTAGTTGCTGTCGGCGAGTGTAAACTTCATGTAGTCCTGATCACCGCCCGCAGATGTCACTTTCTTCTGTTCCGGCTTCAGCCGATGGCTTGAGTTGTGAGTCTCTGTTTCGTGGTTGCTAGGAGACAAAAACATCATTTTTGTAAAGTTTGGAAGCTACGTTCTTCATAAGAGGAGGGGAAGGGGCTTATACCAATCTCTAGTTTTGGGGGGTTCAGGGGTGAGGTGAGGTGAGGTGAGGTGAGGTGAAATTGGGTTTAACGTCGCGTCCAAGATTATTGCACTTATATAGCGACGTGCATGTACGTGTGTGTGTTGCTGCTTGTACTAGTCCGGACTGATGCCGATTTATAGTGCTAGCTCACTGAGATACCATGCCGCAGTTTAACATGAATACCCCACTCAGACACAGTATACTGACTCCGAGCCGACCAGTCCTTGTTTTAGCCCCTTATTGCCGAGCGCCAGACCGGGTATCTTTTACCGTCTTTTGGTATGACATGGTTGGGGATCGAACCCCGGACCTTCCGCTCTCCGGGCGGACGCTCTACCACTAGACCAAGGAGGCGGTCATTTGTCTTATGGAACAGCAATGATTCTAAGACCCCAAAAACAACATTGTTCAGTGAACCTAAGCCTTTAACAATAGTGATTGGAAAACAAATTCGGTCACAATAAAAACGCAGCAAAACCAATGTTATGAAAGTGTCATGGCAAGGAAATCAAGCCAATGATAAGTGCCATGACATTGGATGTCAAACCATTTTGAGCAAAAAAGAATTAAATTAAAGATTTAAAAAAAAGGTTTGATATGGTTTTGGGTTAGCAGGTCAAACAAGAAGACAAAGTCTTGGATATATCAATGACGAGTCCTTGTTTTATCCCCTTAATCTCAAATGCCAGGCTGGGTAACAACAAGTACCATCTTTTAGTACGATGCAGCCAAGTGACTGAACCACCAACTTTCATCTATACTTCATGAAGCAACATCTAATGGTGTATGAGTAATGCTCTGGAAACAAATCCCATCCTCATTTAACCTTGTTGCCATGGAAATGCAAAAAATGAAATAAACTAAAACACCCCTTAAAAGCAAACGGCACTAGTTCAGTGCATGCCTTATGTTTAGAAAAAAGATTCATGAACAAATACTAAATGGTTTTATGAGTTCTGTTTTTGAAACAAAATGTGATGGAATGTTTGAAGGAGCCTGTTTCTATATGGTCAGGTGGGGATAATTACCACTGGCATTCCGCAACCCTGGATTGATACACCCAAGGTTATCAAAACAAAATATGTGGTTTTACTAAAGTATAGCTATTGTGTGTCATTCAGATGAGAAGTATATTTCTGCAATGTTCACCAACTACCGTAGAACAGGGAGCAAATTCTCCAAGGGTATTAGATTCATATTTGCCAATTTGTAAAACTAAACTCCAACAAAGTTCAAAGTTAAAAAGAGCAAAAAGTATTGTACCCATCTACCTGTCTTTTTAAATGAAACTTTATCGGATGTGTTTAGACCTGCTAGACATTAACAATGTTGTCACTGCCTGTCACTGTCTGTCACACAGTTATTGCAGAAAACTGGGCTCCAACAAAGTCAAAAGTTTAAGAGAGCAAAAAGTAGATCACTAAAAATGCTAAAAACAATAAAAACAACAACACTGATTACCCACCTACCCCATTTATTAAAATAGAAATTTATCGGCTGTGTCTAGATCTGTTTGGAATATTAACAATGTTTTCGCTGCCTGTCACACAGTTATTGCAGAAAACTGGGCTCCAACCAAGTCAAAAGTTTAAGAGAGCAAAATGTAGATCACTAAAAATGCTAAAAACAATAAAAACAACAACACTGATTACCCACCTACCCCATTTTTTAAAATAGAAATTTATCGGCTGTGTCTAGATCTGTTTGGAAACATTAATAATGTAACAATGTTGTCACTACCTGTCCACACAGTCATCACAGAAGTCCACGGAGTCGTCCTCCAGACAGTCCATACAGTGCCACCTGGTGCCAATAATCGGCTCACACCCACACATGTCGCACTGGAACCAGAATCAATGAATATTCAGCACCACCGAATTGAAGCAATGAAACAGAACGAGATATTTTACACTGCCACAATAGCTACCTACGTGACAATCTGACAAACCATTCATTGAAAGTCGCCTCAGGTGAATGTTTTAATCAGCCAGTCAGTGTGGAGGCTCCAAAATTCAACTATCATATCTGATTTCTGTCCTCAAGAATGAACACAAACCAGCAGTTCTGAATGGAACATAATAAAAGGCTGTAATATTATACTGCTGGAGACCCTTCATTTATAAGTGTCATGGAATTGACACCAAAAAGGGTAAATCATTGAGGGAATATTTCTGTTGTGTGTGAGTTTTCTGTTAAGGTTGCAATTTCCAAATCGATGTAGAAAAGAGTGAGTGAGTGAGTGAGTGAGTTTGGTTTAACACCACTTTTAACAGTATTCCAGTTATATAACGGTGTGTCAGCTTAAAGTGGGAGGAAAGCCTGAAGTGATGCAGGTCTCAAGACATTTACCACGTTGGTGAAACCCACGAGCACGGGTATGGTGCTGACAAACCTAGAAACATAATCGGGGTGAACCGGGGATTTGAACGCACAATCATAGGTTTCTGGCATACCCAAGGGACGCAACTCTGCACAGAGAATTGCGGCGCCTTAGACGACTGAGCAGCCCGTGTTTTAGAAAGCTGAGATCTGATTGGCTCAAAACACCACCTTCATTTAGACTTGGCAGTCAAAGTTTGCTCAGTGTTCAACTGATACTTCCAACCAACGTGTTTGTCAGATCTCCATGCACAGAGGCATCAAAGCGGAACAAAAGAGTTTCTTTTATCTAGATTGGCACAAACATATGAAACTGATAATTCAATCTGATCACATCCTGATGTGGTCTTAAATAACATGAGCATTTAACAATGAAGTGGCGTTATGAAAAAAATAGTTTTATTATTTTTTGCCACCAAAAATATTAAGAGTCAGCGATAGAAACTAACATTCCTAGTCCACTAGTCCTTTTAATGATTACATATAGCAATACTCTGAAAAGAGTCAAATTACTGGTCCTTAACTATTGGACAGTTTGGCAAGGACTACAGGACTAGTGCCAATATCTACCGCTGAGAGCGTGTGAATGCTGCTTTATGCCTGTGTCAGACAAACCAGTGGTTGATAAAATGAGCACCACTCCAAATTGATAAAAATCAGCAATAAAGCACACAACAGAAGCATCTGATCCTTTACAAATATGGAAACCAGGCATTCATTATGGCTCCAAAAACTCATAGGCTAAGAAGTAAATAGTTTTTTATGAAGATTTGTGTTGTCATGGTTACTCCCACCCTGAAGCCGTCATGCTGGACTTGGACAGCTGTCTGCTGCAGTTTGTGAGCACGGAACGACCTCAGCTTTAGCAGCTCTCGGTACTCCTCCGAGTTTCGCAGCTCCAGGGGTACCTCCTCATCCTCGTCCTGGCAACACATGGGGATATACCGGTACTTGAATATACACACCATATCTTCCCACTTCTACTATCATCTTGAATATACACACCATATCTTCCCACTTCTACTGTCAACTTGAATATACACACCATATCTCCCAACTACTTCTGTCAACTTGAACATATACACACCATATCTCTCCACTACTACTGTCAACTTGAATATACACACCATACCTTCCCACTACTACTGTCAGCTTGAATATACACACACTATCTTCCCACTACTACTATCACCTTGAATGTACACACCATATCTTCCCACTACTACTGTCAACTTGAATATACACACCATATCTTCCTTCTACTACTGTCAACTTTAATATACACACCATATCTTCCCACTACTACTGTCAACTTTAATATACACACCATATCTTCCCACTACTACTGTCAACTTGAATATACACACCATACCTTCCCACTACTACTGTCAGCTTGAATATACACACACTATCTTCCCACTACTACTATCACCTTGAATGTACACACCATATCTTCCCACTACTACAGACAACTTGAATATACACACCATATCTTCCCACTACTACTGGCAACTTGAATATACACACCATATCTTCCCATTAGTACTGTCAGCTTGAACATATACACACCATATCTTCCCACTACTATCAACTTGAATATACTCACCATATCTTCCCACTTCTACTATCAACTTGAATATACACACCAAATCTTCCCACTACTACTGTCAACTTGAATATACACACCATGTCTCCCCACTACTTCCTTTAACTTGAATATACACACCATATCTCCCAACTACTTCTGTCAACTTGAACATATACACACACTATCTTCCCACTAGTACTGTCATCTTGAATATACACACCATATCTCCCCACTTCTACAGACAACTTGAATATACACACCATATCTCCCAACTACTTCTGTCAACTTCAACATATACACACCATATCTTCCCACTACTACTGTCAACTTGAATATACACACCATATCTTCCCACTAGTACTGTCAGCTTGAATATACACACCATATCTCCCCACTACTTCCATCAACTTGAATATACACACCATATCTTCCCACTACTACTGGCAACTTGAATATACACACCATATCTCCCCACTACTTCCATCAACTTGAATATACACACCATATCTTCCCAATACTACTGTCAACTTTAATATACACACCATATCTTCCTTCTACTACTGTCAACTTTAATATACACACCATATCTTCCCACTACTACTGTCAACTTTAATATACACACCATATCTCCCCACTACTACTGTCAACTTGAATATACACACCATATCTCCCCACTACTTCCATCAACTTGAATATACACACCATATCTTCCCACTAGTACTGTCAGCTTGAATATACACACCATATCTCCCCACTACTTCCATCAACTTGAATATACACACCATATCTTCCCACTACTACTGGCAACTTGAATATACACACCATATCTCCCCACTACTTCCATCAACTTGAATATACACACCATATCTTCCCACTACTACTGTCAACTTTAATATACACACCATATCTTCCTTCTACTACTGTCAACTTTAATATACACACCATATCTTCCCACTACTACTGTCAACTTTAATATACACACCATATCTCCCCACTACTACTGTCAACTTGAATATACACACCATATCTCCCCACTACTTCCATCAACTTGAATATACACACCATATCTCCCCACTTCTACAGACAACTTGAATATACACACCATATCTCCCAACTACTTCTGTCAACTTCAACATATACACACCATATCTTCCCACTACTACTGTCAACTTGAATATACACACCATATCTTCCCACTAGTACTGTCAGCTTGAATATACACACCATATCTCCCCACTACTTCCATCAACTTGAATATACACACCATATCTTCCCACTACTACTGGCAACTTGAATATACACACCATATCTCCCCACTACTTCCATCAACTTGAATATACACACCATATCTTCCCACTACTACTGTCAACTTTAATATACACACCATATCTTCCTTCTACTACTGTCAACTTTAATATACACACCATATCTTCCCACTACTACTGTCAACTTGAATATACACACCATATCTCCCCACTACTACTGTCAACTTGAATATACACACCATATCTCCCCACTACTACTGTCAACTTGAATATACACACCATATCTTCCCACTACTACTGTCAACTGTAATATACACACCATATCTTCCCACTACTACTGTCAACTTTAATATACACACCATATCTTCCCACTACTACTGTCAACTTGAATATACACACCATATCTCCCCACTACTACTGTCAACTTGAATATACACACCATATCTCCCCACTACTACTGTCAACTTGAATATACACACCATATCTCCCCAATACTACTGTCAACTGTAATATACACACCATATCTTCCCACTACTACTGTCAACTTGAATATACACACCATATCTCCCCACTACTACTGTCAACTTGAATATACACACCATATCTCCCCAATACTACTGACAACTTGAATATACACACCATATCTCCCACTACTACTGTCAATTTACATAAACCATACCTTCCCATTCGTATTGCAAAACTATAAACCACAGCAGTTTAATTTTCAAAATGTATATTTTGCAAACAATTTGCACGACATTGAGAGCAGTTTCAACCAAAAATCATGCTAGAAGACAGTCAAGGGCTCAAAATGAAGAGTTGTAGATGTAACTCACTGATTCATCAGATGAAAGATTGTCTCCGTATTTCTCGTACTTCTGCAGGAACCTGTCTTCCGACACAGCGTCATAGTAGGCCCGTGTGTCCTCGTCATCAGACATGTAGACTGGGGGGGTGTAGGCCTGTAGGAATGTCGAGGGTTGGTAGTACACACGGTTGTAGCGCTGTTGGCGGCTGAACTGAAAGAGGAGACAGCAAGTCACTACAGGACCCATGTTAAATTTACTACAAGGCATAACTCAGTATCTCATGGTCTGCACATTTCCCCCTACCCTCCTGTTCCCAGCACCTACATTTCCCTGCCCTTAGGTCCCTAGCTACTTACCCTCCTGTTCCCACCACCTACACTCCCTGCCCTTAAGTCCCCAGCTACTTACCCTCCTGTTCCCGCCACCTACATTTCCCTGCCCTTTAGTCCCCAGCTACTTACCCTCCTGTTCCCGGCACCTATATCTCCCTGCCCTTAAGTCCCCAGCTACTTGCCCTCCTGTTCCCGGCACCTACACTCCCTGCCCTTTAGTCCCCAGCTACTTACCCTCCTGTTCCCGGCACCTATATCTCCCTGCCCTTAAGTCCCCGGCTATTTACCCTCCTGTTCCCGGCACCTATATCTCCCTGCCCTAAAGTCCCCAGCTACTTACCCTCCTGTTCCCACCACCTACATTTCCCTGCCCTTTAGTCCCCAGCTACTTACCCTCCTGTTCCCGGCACCTATATCTCCCTGCCCTTTAGTCCCCAGCTACTTGCCCTCCTGTTCCCGGCACCTACATTTCCCTGCCCTTAAGTCCCCAGCTACTTACCCTCCTGTTTCCAGTGCCGATGTTGGGAGCCCTCCCTGGCACAGGAAGTCCAGCCTTGGCCAACTTGATGAAGTATTTCTGCACCCGGCTGGCCACCTAGAGACACAACACGCGTCATTTATGACACAACCGATGTATTTTCTTGATAGCCTTTGGGTGTTACCAACTAAATGGGAGAAACAGCAGTGCCCTGAGATTTTTGTTTAGATATTCAGGCAGTTGATTTAAATAACCCAGATATTAAGGCACTAGATGTTTATCCACATCGTAATCTAAGAAAAAGGTATCAGTAACTTTAAGGGATACTCTAAGTTGTTTTATGCCCCAGTCAGCAATAAATTTAGCCATAACATGGCGGCCTGAAAATAATCATGCCCATAAATGCACTGTGTACTCAGTTGTGAGACTGACATGTCTAGGATACAGAGTTTGTTTATTTGTTTTACACAGCACTCAGCAATATTCCAGCTATATGACAGTGGTCTGAAAATAATCATGTCTGGACCAAACAATCCAGTCATTGACATCATGAGCATCGATCCACGCAATTGGGACCAATGACATGCATCAATCAAGTCAGCAAGTCTCACCACCCAATCCTGTCAGTCGCCTTTTACAACAAGCATAGTCGCCTTTTACGGTAAGCATGGGTTTCTGAAGACCTATTCTACCCCGGATCTTCATGGGTCAGGAGGCAGAGAAAAAAGACCATAGTGAAGGTATTATACATGTATCAACAGGGACTGAGAAAATTCCAGAAGTGGGTTATGAAAAGTGCCAATGGTGGTCATTCTTCTTTGTTCCTTAATGCAATTCACCTGCTGCGTAGTGCGATTGCCGAGGGCAACAGCGATCTTCTGCCACCTCTTGGCCTCCACTTCCTCAGGAGGGTACACCAACAGCAGTTCCTCCAACCTGCACAGGGAGACAACTCTCAACATAAGGGAGACAACCCACACTGGAGACACCTGGTTACACAGCAGAACAGATGCACAAGAACCATATATGACCTTGTCACTCTGATATCACCCAGCGGCTCATGTAACTCTTGAAGGTGTCCACATTGGCATTTGAACATAAGAACAACTTCAAACAAGAATGATCAAAAATCGATTTCTGTTTGGGTCAAAACATTTCCGAGTGCTGTTGGAATTATTTCATTAAAACAAATGCAGTTCAACTAATACTTGTTTTTCTGTGGAGGGGCGGTCGGGTAGCTTAGTGGTTCCCTAAAGCGTTCGCTCGTCACGCCGAAGACCCGGGTTGGATTCCTGACATGGGTACGTGTGAAGGCCATTTCTGGTGATATCGCTGGAATATTGCTAAAGTGGCGTAAAATCCAACTCACTCAATATATCTGTGGACTAGCAACGAAATCTGTTCAAAATATACTATAGTATATACACATTCTCAAAATAAATTAAGGACACCTGATTCTTTCATATTGCTACAGTTAATCTGTAATTCCAGGACAGATTAACTGTAGTAATATAAAAGAATAGGGTGGTCCTTGACTTCTTTTGCGTAGTATTATTGACATTAATATAAATATTCATCCACTTATGGTGAGGTGAGGTGAAATTGGGTTTAATGTCGTGTCCAAGATTATTGCACTTATATAGCGATGTGCATGCACGTGTGTGTGTGTGTGTGTGTGTGTGTGTGTGTGTGTGTGTGTTGTACTAGTCCGGACTGATGACGATTTATAGTGTTAGCACACTGAGATACCATGCCGCAGTTTAACATGGATACCCCACTCAGACACAATATACCGACTCCCAGCCGACCAGTCCTTGTTTTAGCCCCTTAATGCTGAGCGCCAGACAGGGTAACAATAAGTACCATCTTTTAACGTCTTTTGGTATGACATGGCCAGGGTTCGAACCCAAGACCTTCCGCTCTCCAGGTGGACTCTCTACCACTAGACCACGGAGGCGGTCTCATCCACATACAACCACTGGGTATTTATTACATTTTATAAGAATGTCAAGCAATGGCGTAATAATACACGTCGACAGTGACTTGTGTCTGGAGGCATAACCATTTTAAGAGACATTACTCAATGAAAAACAGTGTTGCCGGCCAGCAGAGTAGAGAGAAGTGGAAGGTAGTTCAACTGATCACTTGAGCTCCACACATCCAGCTTACCTCTTCTGTTCCTCAACAGTCCACAGCTGATTAAAGGTCGGGGGTTTGGATTCCGTCTTCAAGCGACCTCGGACAACGGTGACCTCGTTAGGGTCATCAAACAGTGATACTGCCTGGGGAACTCGTCCTGTCTTCTCCCTCTCTATCACAGGTTCTGACAACATACAAACAGATTATCTACTACTTGTTCAGGCAATTAACAGATCCTCTACGCAGGTTCTGACAACATACAAACCGATGCTTTACTGATTGACCAGGAAATTAACAGATCTTCTACCACAGGTTCTGACAACATACAAACAGATTCTATACTACTTGTTCAGGCAATTAACAGATCCTCTACCACAGGTTCTGACAACATGCAAACAGATTCTCTACTACTTGTTCAGGCAATTAACAGATCTTCTACCACAGGTTCTGACAACATGCAAACCGATGCTTTACTGATTGACCAGGCAATTAACAGATCTTCTACCAAAGGTTCTGACAACATACAAACAGATTCTTTACAACTTGTTCAGGCAATTAACAGATCCTCTACCACAGTTTCTGACAACATATAAATAGATCTTCTACCGCAGATTTAAGAAATAACAGATTTTCTATCGCAGGTTCCAGAAATAACAGATTCTCTACCTCAGGTTCCAGAAATAACAGATTCTCTACCGCAGGTTCCAGAAATAACAGATTCTCTACCGCTGGTTCAAGAAATAACAGATTCTCTACCACCACAGATTGATTGAACAGAGCATCAAGCCATGGGTAACCTGTTACTATTTCAGCGACACAACTTAAAATGAAATATCCTCCTCACATCCAAAATTATTCAGCATGTTCATTGGAGAACTTCATCAACACAAGTTTCAAATCTCACATGAAGTAACAACAAACTAAAACACAAGCACCATGATAAGAATAGTCATGTGGACGTTAGCGGAGAAACATAAGTAGTTGTTTGTTTTATGATAAAATCGGCAATATTCCAGCTATATTACAATAAACTATTTGAGCCAGGGTCAGGGATTCATTTAGGATTCCAAACTAAGTGCCCTTGGCAAGCAAATTGGGACAACATTGTGATATCGATCAAAATTTGATTATTTTAATGTTCTTATTTTTGTAAATTCTGAGGAATTGGAAATTGTTTTAATTATAATTCACCTTCCAGTTCGGTAAGCAGCTTCTTCTGTCGAGTCATGTGACGCGGGACACCGAAGGAAGTGAAGTCCACATTACTTCGATACTTCTCCCAGTCGATGTTCGGCACCGACGCTATCTCCTGCTGCTGGGGAAAGTTAAACTTCACACCCTGCTGTAGCTTTTCCACAAATTTGATTGGATCCTTCAGAGCCTCCCCCTGAGCCACGTTTAGGGCCTCCATGTCCCGTATTGCCTGGCTGCGCTGTGCCTCCAACTTAGTGATCGTCTTCAGCAGCGCTCGGTAGTCTGAATTGCCCTTCAGCGCAGCGTCATCGGACTCGAACATATAGCAGCTGTCTTCCTCCTCCATCCCAACACATTGGTCATCATGGTTACTGCTTTCTGTGTCAGTATCCATTGAACCGATTCACTCTTCTTGATTTATAATAGAGATGACCTAGCCAATATCAAGACCACATTTTAGGATGTAACAATTCACTGTTTATGCTTGGTTAGTTTGTTGTTTTTACGCCGCACTCAGCAATATTCAAGCTATATGACAGCGGTCTGTAAATAATCACGTCTGGGCCAGACAATCCAGTGATTATTATAATCAGCATTGATCAATGCAATTGGGATCGATGACATGCATCAACCAAGTCAGCTAGCCTGACCACCCGATCCTGTTAGTCGCCTCTTATGACAAGCATATATAGTCGTCTTTTACGGCAAGCAAGGGTTGCTGAAGAGCTATTCTTTCCCGGAATCTTCACGGATCTCACTGCATATGCATTGTATTGCAATACAAGTATGGTCATCAGAAGGTCTAGCTGCTGTAACCTTATCTCTGTGCTGACTCGATCCCTATCAGTGATTTTGATAGTGGTTTTTCACTACTAGGGCTGGAACGAGTAACTCGGGTACTCGGGTTGGGTGGGTCCTGAGTAGGACCTGGGTACCCACATGACTACCCGGACCCATGGTTAGTCATATGAAATATTGTTTAATGAAAAACTCACCATAGCTCAGTGGTTACACTACAACTTGCTAATGTTCGCATTTCTTTCTGACGATGCACATATTCCTTTTGACTTACATATGTATGAGTAAAGATAAAGCTACTGTGAACATCAGTGTACCCATAATCTGATGATCTGATCGTTTGATACATATATCTGTACAGTTTTTGTCAGGGCTGCGGTAATACAATTCCCAATCAGACATTTCGTTCCCAACTCTTGAGACCTGTCAGTGGGTACCTGGTAGGGTCAGGTAAAAGATTTAACGACGAGTTAACGACGAATACACTTGTCACTCCCCACAAATAAGTGACGGGTCCCTAATATTGCATAACATGTCTAAATTGCATACTACTGTGGTCATCTGACCACTGCTGGCCGTGCAGCATATCAATAATCAAAGTTTAAAACTACAATATATACTAATAGATCTTGAGTACAGGTATAGACCTCGTATGTAAACAGACTTTTTTCTAGAATAGTCACTGACTCAGCATTCTCAATTATTTATTCCCCTAACACCCCAGTAGTGTGTCCAACCTACCTGTCAGTGTCACACAATCACATCGGCATAAAGACACGTCGTTCCCCTCCTGTCCACACCATTCAACAACCCGCTCATGCCATTTACCTCGGAAATGAGCCTTTGCACATGCGCACAGGGAACACCGGCCAGCGGAAGTTGCACGTGTTTTTGAGTTGGGTTTGTTTACGTTTTTCGGCCCATGAAGCAGTGTAATTTTGTGGATGTTTGTGTGAATGAGACGTGATAAAAATGTGATGATTTGCCATATATTTAGATAAGCTTGCCTAATGTAGCCATTTTTAATGTCATGCCATGTCAACGTAAATTATCTTATCGGGTAGTCAACACTTGACTATATGTATGTCTATGTATGTAAATATATAAAATATATGTATGTTACATACATATATTTTATATATTTACATACATAGACATACATATAGTCAAGTGTTGACTACCCGATAAGATGTATGTATGCTGAACAAACATAGTTAGGGATCTGAATATTTTGGGGATATTTGGGGTTGGTCCTTTACGTCGGTCCTACTAAATAACGCCCGGGATACTGATACTAAATAATAAAGTGTATTCTATATAATTGTGTTCTTGTACTAATTATAATAAAGTGCCGTTATGGAGGGTGCCAACCCCCTCCCCCCTTGAGTCACGAATACCATCGAATTTTTCTCTCATTGCTTACCTCTGATTCCCCAAAACTATTTAACACAATCATATCTCAAAAGCATTGAAAAAAGGTGTGCGATCTGAAGTTAAATTACTGAAACTAATATCAACAAAATAATATATATCAAGAAAATATTTACATACACCGCTATGCTTTTATACGATTTTATTCGAACTGACGCGGTGGTCGTAACTGAGTCTTTGAAGGATACAATGTAAATTTGCTTATGTAACAGAAATCATGAGCATCAATCAACGCACATGGGATACGACGACATGCATCAACCAAGTCACCCGATCCCGTGTCGCCTACGACAAGCATAGTCGCCTTTTACGGCAAGCATGGGTTGCTGAAGACCTATTCTACCCCGGATCTTCACAGGTTATCTGAACTCCCCTCATAAACATAAATGAAGAATAAACGTATTGTCCGAAGCGGCAAATCCCAAAAGAAAGGAAAAGCAAATGTAGATTCATATATAACAACAAAACTTTGGAATATGCTACCAGAAAACCTAAAGGGGCAGAGACGGTTACAAAATTTAAGAAGTTGCTACGTGGAAGGGGGGATGATGATATGCACGGTGATTTTAATTATGGACACAGGTTATTTTCCTCTCTCAAGATAACTTTACTGCCTACAACATGCTACATCTACCCGCTGGATTCGCCTTTGGTGCAAGAAATGCGATACTGAGATGTATCCGCGGAAAGCCACGTATCTCCTCTGGCAGATTGAACCTATCAGTTGACCCGACCCACTGCAGTAGTCACTGAAGCGGACGTAAAATATCTTTAGGAAATGTCTTGAAGATTGGTTTGTTGTTTAACGCCGCACTCAGCAATATTCCAGCTATATGACGGCGGTCTGTAAATAATCGAGTCTGGACCAATCCAGTGATTAATATCATGAGCATCAATCCACGCAATTGGGATTGATGACGTGCATCAACCAAGTCAGCGAGCCTGACCACCGGATCACGTTAGTCGCCTTTTACGAAAAGCATAGTCGCATAGCATAGCATGGGTTGCTGAAGATCTATTCTACCCCGGAATCTTCACGGGTCTGTCTTGAAGAAGTGTCTTGACATTCACAAATCATCACTGTTCATGTATAATAAACTGCTCGCATTGAAGGTGCCTTAAGAGTGAGTGAGTGAGTATGGTTTTATACCGCTTTTAGCAACATTCCCGCAATATCACGGCGGGGGACACCAGAAATGGCCTTAACACATTGTACCCATGTCGGGAATCGAACCCGGGTCTTCCGGTGACGAGCGAGCACTTTAACCACTCACTAGGCTACCCGACCGCCCCGCGCCTTAAGAAATATGTTTTTGACATATTTAGTAAATAGAATCATTTTAAGCAACGCAATGCACTTTAACTAGACGAAACTGTAACACTTTGTATATGTTGACAATGGGTGTATATCCCTTTCAATTTCCCATGAATACATTGTCCTCAACGATCACCGCCAGCCAGAGAATAACGTTCACGTTCAATGTTATACCATCTTCCCGGGGCAAGGGAGTTATCTGACTAAAAAGTCCAGTTTCCACCCTTGCCGAACTACGCAGGGATTATCGAGTTATTGCACGGCTATATTTGTCTTTGGTTTGAGAAAGTTACATGGAGAAAAGTAATAGTAGGAAATATGTAAAAAGAAATATTTTAAAAGAAACCTAATCTTTATCTCGAACATGTATAATGATATGTGTAAACACGAAATAAATAAATAATTATGAAAACATTTTTTGAAAGATTTTTAACTGTGAACTATTACACTAAACACGTTTGTGTCAGTCGGGCTCAATGATCAAAGGGGAAGAGGCGCGATACGAATCAACAACCGAGTGCTTGGGATCTATTCCTGGGATAGCTCCACACTGATGACATGGATAGACGTGGAACTATCCAGAAGGTAACTGAAATAAGGAGTGTCTTTAACGTCACGATCTTACCATAGTACAACCATCCGTAACGACGTACAGCATTATTCTCACGATCGGTCAACAAGATTCTGATCGATTGCATGTTCCAAGTAGATATCAACATTCTTTTTTTTATATCCTTTTCAAATTGCATAGTTGCATTCCTAAGTAGTGCCAGGATGCGATGTTTCTTGTGAATAAAGTCTATTTTTTTTTATCTATGACCTTTGTCAGTTGCATTTATCAAGGTTGCATGGGTTTTGTTTGTTTGTTTGTTAGCCTCAACTTATGCAAAACTTGTCTAACATGTCTGTTAATTCAACAATTATTAAATGGATAGAATCTTTTCTTGCAAACTGAGTAGAATTTGTGACTGTAAAAGGGATCAAATCATCTGTGACCTTTACATCTACCGCTATTGCTGTCCCCAAGGTTGTGTGCTCTCTCCCGTCTTATTTATTTTATACACCAATGACTGTATCAGTAATTGTAACAATTGTTTAACCGTTAAGTTTGCACATGATGCAGCGCTGGTCGGATTCAGTCTGAAATTTATTATCGCTCCCAAATTTCAAAACTGTCCAATAGCGCAAGATTAATTTTCATACGCTAAATGTTAAAAAGACGAAGGAAATGATTATAGATTAAAGAAAAAAAGAAGACCGAAATTCTGCCTGTTGTTATTGGTAACGAAAATATTGATCTTGTTGAACAAGATATTATCTTGGCACCATTATTGATTCGAAACTCATTTGGAAATTCAATGCTAACACGGAGTATGTTTATAAAAATTCTAACGGCATCTTAGGTATTTTAAACTTGATAATACAAAACACTCTGTTTTACAGAACAATTTTTCAAAGGATTTTTGTTTATAATGTTAAATGCTGGCATGGGAGCATGTCTGTTCAAAATAAATCTAAAATACATAAAATTTTAAACACAGCAAGCAAATTGTCAGGTATCCAATTTCAACACATCGGTGAGCAGCAAATTGTCAGAAAGACGCGTAAGATAATATATGACAGCAGTCATATACTTCATTCCGAATATCAGTTTCTACCATCTTGCCGCCGACTGCGCATTACGATGCTGCAAACAAACAGGGCCCGGAAATCATTCATACAGGCCAGTATTTGTCTTATAAATGTTTATCTCTTTATTTATTTCACAGTTCGCTGTACACCAATCGTATCCTGTCATTATCCCTTTTATTAAAGTTTACTATTGCTGTGATATAGATATACTGAGTCAAATTAAAAACTTCACATTTTTAAAAGTAATCCCATATATGATATACAACGGACAAATGTATCAGAGAAGGTAATTTTTAATCATTAATGTCCAAAGAAGGATTTTAATTAACGGTGGTAACCATAATTTGTTCCAAGCACCTACGGTAATCGGTAATAACATCAACAGTTTAAATCATAAGTCCCAAGCACGAGAATCTGATGGCACACAAGTTCAGTAGCGTGTATGGCCACCATGTGCGTTGACAACTGCCACACAACGCCTCCGCATGGACCTTGTGATGCTTGTGAACACATGATTGGGAAGACGTAGCCGTTGTTGCTGCAAAATGGTGCCAAGATCTTGCAAATTCTGTGGTTGGTTCTGGAGAGTCCGCAGACTTCTGCCAAGAGCATCCCAGACGTGTTCGATGGGATTGAGGTCGGGAGACCTAGACGGCCAGTCCATGACGTTGACTCCCGCATTCTGAAGGAAATTCCTTGTCAAAATTGCTGTGTGGGGTCTGGCATTGTCGTGTTGGAAGATCAAAGCGGGTCCATGTGCTGCCATAAAAGGCAGAAGTTCTGGTGCCAGTACCTGGTCGCGGTAAGCAGCAGCGTTGAGGTTGCCACGGATGACAAGAAGCCTGGAACCTGCATTGCCACAGAAAGCACCCCACACCATGACACTTCCGCCTCGAAATCTGTCAACTTCCTGTACACAGCACTGGGCGTAACGTTCATGACGGCGCCTCCACACCCTCGCCCTACCATCAGCAAATCGAAAATTAAATCGGGATTCATCACTGAAGACGACTTGATTCCAATTCCATCGTAAGTGTCGCTGTGCCCACAATTGACGTTGACGTCTGGGTAATTGAGTCAGAATCGGCCCGCAGTATGGCCGTCGTGCTTGAAGGTGAGCAGTTCTCAGACGGTTTCGAACAGTTTGCGCACTCAGTCTACCCCTAAACAGTTCATTTCTGGTTGATGTAGCCGTCAAAAATCGGTTACGGAGGTGACGTAAGACAATCTGACGATCCTCTGCATGTGACGTCAGACGTGGTCGACCTGGCCGAGGGCGATCAGCGGTGGTAACCGTTTGCTGTAGATCATTAACAGTCCATCGACTACAACCCATCGTCCTTGCGACTTCAGCTACGGACGTTCCCGTCTGCAACAAGCCGATGGCACGTTCACGTTGCACATTTGAAAGGCGTGGCATGACAAATGGCCGTAAAGACTTTTGTTTTCTTGTGTTTTTCTTTTTATGTTAATGACTGCTAACAAG